GGCCTGATGGACGGAGCTGTTCCACAGTCTGCTGGTCCTAGAACTGAGGCTACGCAGTCTCCGCCCTAATGGCAGCAGGTTGAAGAAGCAGTGTAGCGGGTGGTCAAGATCTCCCACCCAGCAGAGGGCTTTACTTCTGAGGCGAGAGCTGTGGAGGTCCTGAAGGCAGGGGAGAGAGGTGCCAATGATCTTCTCAGCTGTCCTCACGATCCGCTGGAGGGATTTGCGGCAGGATGCTGTGCAGGCCCCGTACCACACAGTGGAGCAGCTCATCAGGATGCTCTCGATGGCCCCCCTGTAGAAGGTTGTCATGATGGGGGTGGGGGCTCTCGCTCTTCTCAGCTTGCGGAGGAAGTAGAGCCGTTGGTGAGCCTTTTTGGCCACTGCTGCTGTGTTGATGGTTATGAATAAGATTTTCAGAGGTACAACACAGGTTGAACAACTGGGAGGTAAAGTTAAAGAGGCCAGACTGAGATGGGTTGGACATGTCCAGAGGAGGAACAGTGGGTATATTGGTAGAAGGATGTTAGAAATGCAGCTGCCAGGAAAAAGACAAAGAGGAAGGCCAAAAAGTAGATATGTGGATGCAGTTAGAGAGGACATGGAGGTAGTGGGAGTGAGGACAGAGTGAGATGGAGGAGGATGACGGATGACTCACTATTTTGACTCCTGAAGAGGGAACAACCAAAAGAAGAAGGAAGGAAAAGTACAACAGATGTATTTCCTGTGTATTTTCACACTTAAACTGAATGCCGTCCGGTGTAGCAGAATGTTATGATAATCACTTACAAAGTTTTCTTCTCCACAGTTGTAGCAATCCACTTTTGATGGTTCTGAAATGACAGAGCATAATATGCATTAATCAACCTTATTGCTGCTGGCTCAGGCTTCAAGAAACTCCTGTGTTTGTGTTCATTATCTTCTTAAATGATTTGAATAGTAATTCTGGTTGCCCATGTAGTCGTCTCAGATTTATTGAGTGTTGCTAAAATTTGATCTCTTGTATATATATAACTTAAAAATGTTGAGGCTTCAGATTATGACTCTGCTTTTTTCTCTTTTTCCTCGACTCCCTCAATAGTGGCCTCTTTCCCTACTTTTCAATTCAATTCTCTTCCCTCTGAAGTCATAGCTGGCTACGTTTGGAGGTGGGCTGGAGTAGACACAAGAGAGTCTGTTTTTTCCATCTGTTGCAGTGCATGTGTGTGGTGGTGGGATTGGTCTGTCCCGTTAGTTTGGGAACTTACAGCTTCTGAAACTGCCTGTGCTACCACAGCATTACAGTAATGAAATGTGTATGCGGTTAAGCCAAAGCTTGATTTGGTTTACTGCCCATCATAGACGGACTAATAGAAACATGAACACTGTTGAAGTTTCAACAATAGCATGGAAGTTCTGATTACACAAGAGTAATGCCTGAAAGAAAGCACTAAGAGCATATTCTTGTTTAATAGCAAAGGAAAAAAAAGGTTTGATTTACTTTCAGCACTTTGAGTAAGCTGATTAATGCTGGATTGTGTTTTTAATAATAATTCATTGTTTTGAAGGCTTGTGAGCTGGATCTGGCCCATGGGCTGACAGTCACTGTTTTACAGGATACAACTGATACCTGACTGAAAAATGTTGGATTGTATACCTGGATTATTGAGCATGGACTTTGTTGAAACATGAAGTCTTTAGGAGTGTGAAATATGTAAAGTATAACTTTCTCAAGTTATCAGATTCTGAAAAAAATTAACACCTTTAGGAGGATTTAAATATAAGAGTCCAATAATACAAAACACAGCTTTGCTTGATTTTGTTGGGTAGTTTTTATGGATGCAACATTTCAACTACAAACTAAAGTATTTCTGCTTCATTTGAGGCTTTTGTTTACACTTTGTGTAATACATTTATTTAGCACTCTGTTATCTGCATCACAGAACAGTAAATATGTCACTTAACTAAATGTGTGGGAAAAAACAAACATATTTTTCATATACTTAAAATTTCATCATGTGTTTTTTACACCGTGACTTTTCTTTTTTGCACCGGGTTCTTAATCATTTTACGTTTATTTGCGTACAAGTTTCATGCCCTAGCTACCATATATTTTACTTGCTTTGGTGTGTTTTTATGATGTATAGCTTCAAGTTAAACTAGAGGTGGTTACATCTTTGCCAACTTCTGGTGGTTATTTTTGTGCAAGACACAGACATTACTAGAAAACAAAAATGAATTCAACCACTACTAATATTATATTCTTCTTAAATCCATCCATCTATTATTTTTATCTGCTTCTTCCTTTTCGAGTCGCCAGGGTCACTGGCGCCCATGTCCAGCCATCACTGTATGAGAGGTGGGGGACACCCTGGACAGGTCACCGGTCCATCACAGGGACACTATAAAGAGACAAACAGCCATTCACTCTCTCTCACACCTAGGAACAATTTAGAGTTACCAGTCAGCCTAACATGCATGTTTTTGGTCTGTGGGAGGAAACCACAGTACCTGGAGGAAACCCACACATGCATGGAGAGAGCATGCAAATGCCACACGGAAAGGTCCCGGGCCAGAATTTGATCCGGCGACCTTCTCACTTAGAGGCAGCAGCTCTACCAACTGAGCCACCGTGCCGCCCGTCTACCTAAATCTGTTTAAAAATTTTTTTTTATTGTTTGGTGACAATAACAGGAAACCCTTGTTAGTGTTATCAGAAAAATTAAAAATGATAGATTGTTAGCCTGTTAGTCCTCACACTGGACTAACATGCAGCTTGCCAAATAGGGCACACAATATGGTTACTATGCTGTCAGCACTCTCTCAGACCGACTGATTTTTGTTGTGCTTTGTTCTTCAGGGAGAGAGCACAAAGACAGACTTGTTGTATCAGGGAAAAAATAACAAAGTGATTTAGAGGCGTTCGCTAAGTTCACTGGCCTGTTGGCAGCATGTATGCTAAACTGCTGTTGTTTTCTGCACATTTTAAATGAGTACTTTGTCTCTATCTGCTCCTTGCACATGCACACATGTCCACACCTTTGACCTTTGACCCATCGTAATAGCTGCTCATGGCCTGTTACTAGCCAACTCCAGATGTTACAGGCACAGCCCTACCGAGACAGATTTACACCTACACACATTCACACACGGACACGTGCACATTCTTCTACCCTCACCAATGCATGTGCAGCTTTGTACAAAGACGCAACAGTTCAACTTTTTCCATGCAATTTGGTAATGTCACACATACGTTAGATTTTTACTCCCGTTCCTCACATTCATAATCAGAATGACATTGCTTCCACATTTTTACCATGCTCTATTTTCTTATAGAAATTGAACAGCAAAGCAAATAAATTCTTGCAATCATGAGTGAGCAGTGAAGCTGCATCTGGTCTCATGAGAACACATCACAAGCTGAGTTGCCCCAGTGACAGTGGACTGACTGAAGGGTGTGGTAGGGCAGGTTTTCACCTGCAAAGCGCCTAAAACCTCAAGCTGAGCACCACAAGTTGCATTTGTTTCACACTGAAGAGCCATCCAAGTACTGGGTAAAAACTGTGAAAGCTGTTTTTTGTGCTTGGTGCACTTTCCTATTTTCACATAAAGACACTCGGGAACAAGAGCAGAAAATGAGGCAGACATGAAAGAACAAGACAGCTGCATATGTCACAACTCAAGACAACGTCTTTGTAATAATATCTGCTCCACAAAAAAGACTGTTGTGTTTTAGACAGTGCATGTGTGTACAGTGGAACATTACCTTATGGTTGTGTGTGTCCTCTTTGCACACATGTAAACACATTAACATATTAAGCTAACATTGTATAAATTGTTATTCTTGAAAAAAAAAAAAAACAGTTTAAGCAATATTTGAAATATTTGAAGAGGGGGTTGTAGAACTGTTATGAACAATTACTTGTGTTGTAGATAGTTTTATGAAGCAACTTATGATAGAAAAATACATTTTAATTCTGACCAGACTGATGAGCTAACTGCTAATTTGAGTTTGGCTGGAACCAAAGTGGACAGCTTCAGTTCTAAAACAACTCCAATCTCAAACATTTCTTGTAACAAATATGTTTTCATGTAAACATCACCATCAATTTAGCGTTACTTTGTTAAACAAGCAGAAATATTAAATGTCTGCAAGAAGTGTGACAGCTTGCTACTTCTGTTGCTATTTGAACTTCAAGGTTCAAGCTTCAAGGTTCTTTATTATCACTCACATCACATGTGCTCCATGAAGTGGAACAAAATTATGTGCTCAAGGTCCCAGTTACACCCCAAAATAACAAAAATATAAATTGTAAACCACAAAAGTACATGCTCAATAATCCAGGTGCAAATAATCCAACAGTGTTCAGTCTGGTCATCTGGACAGTTTCTTTTTTTTTGTGGCTTTTTGTTTGTATGTGTGTTTGTGGCTCTTCAGACTGAAGAAGTCCTTTGGATGAAGGACGAAAGGTCTATATATATATATATATAAATATATATATATATATATATATATATATATATATATAATAACCATTAAATTCTTTAAATAAACTCAAAATAACTCAATATATATAAACTGTCCAGATGACCTGACTGAACATTGTTGGATAAAGTATAAGAGGAAACAGTGTACAATGATCTAAGATATGTGCTAAACAATAATAGTCTAAAACAATATGGTGTATTAAACAGCAGCCTGAACATGTCTGTTGTGAGCAGATGGATATGAAAGCACTTGCTAATAACCATTAAATTATTTAAATAAACTCAATATTTATGCAAAAATGATAATATAGTGAGTGCATAAATCATTATGATTATTTTAGCCTTTAGCTCATCGGTACAGTCAGGATTCAACTATTTATCCAAACTAAGAGCTATCTCAATCATGATGGTAATTATGCATAACTTTTCCACAGATCCCTACTTCAAAAGATTTGATCATTGGCTTTAATATGATAAATGTGTCTGCCTTGGTTTTTTAAATACCTAACATGTATGTGTTTTTATGTTCCCAGGGCATTATTTACATATGACGGCCTTACCAACAAGCTCAAACTGGCTGACTCAGGAGGTAAACTGTTACGTTTCTCAGATGGGAAAGAAAAAAAAATGACACTATAGTTAAAAAAAAATAAGATAAATAGAATCAAGCATCTATACTGGTCTGAAAAATATGTTAGTACAACATGCCAGTACTGTATTAAGACCTTTTTTTTTTTAAATTGCTAACTAAATGCCACAAAAAAAATAAAAAAAATACATGAAAATAAAACAACCCAAAAATAAACTTCTCTTTCCATATTTCTTTTCCAACAGCAGGCAATGTGACAGAGCTGGCAGGGAAGTTTCACAGCTCAAAGCCTCAGTATGGACTGTTTAAAGTGGGCAGTTTAGAGGGAGGAGCGCCTCAGATCGTGTTGATAAGCTGGGTGAGTGGCTCAACATTATTCATTTCAAACCCCCACATGAGCACAAGTGTAAGAAACTTACGTGGGATTCACAGGTACATGCTATGAAATTGCATCTTATGAAGTCGTCACATAAACTTAAAAAATAAAGAATCAAAATAAAAAAGTAAGGCCAAACCTTGACATTTTTGTCATTTAACGTTTGGTTTGAAAATATCTTGAACTTTTGAAGAATAGCTGTAGCCCTGTTTGCGCTCGAGGAAAAATGTCCTTTCAGTCAGTCTTTGCAACTGATTCATGTTGAATGAAAACTGTAAATCTACCTTGTTGCACAGCAGACACATTTTGCTTGTAGACTTTAATCAGACTTGTGGAGCACAGGAACTTAGACGGCAGCCAAACATCTTGATTAGAATTTAGCATCTGATGCCAGCAATATGAACCTATTGTCCCTCAAGCTCCTTCCCTCTCATCTAGACTCCTTTTTGTCTGATGATACAAATGTTTGTCTGCAGATCGGACAAGATGTGGAGGACTACCGGAGACAAGAATGCGCCAGTCACATTCCAGCCATCAAAAACTTTTTTAAGGTAACCTTATTTAATTATTATATGAGCAATCACTAAAAACATATAGAATATATTATGAAGTACCTTTACAAATGGTTTCCTTGCTACTCATTAATGTTCATATAGCTCAAGCTAGAAATACTTTTTTTTTCATTTGCACAACAAACATAAATGGCATTTACTCGTTGCCCTTGTATTCTACACGTAGCACTCAAAACTCTATATTTGTACTCGGTTGTTTACTCAGTATTGTTTTGAGAGTTTCCTGTTCTCAGTCCCCTTCCTGTTCGTTTGGTGAGCTGGTGCTGTCTGTGCTTGGTCTGCTGCACCGGAAGGAATCTGTTACATTTACATACTATAAGGCCAAAAGCTCTTTTTATTCTGCTCTCCATCATGCTTGGTGCAGTTTGTCTCTTCTGTCTTTGACATTCCTTTTTTAATTGTTTGACTTCAATAGGAAGTGTTTGACTGTTGCCTAGATTTTCTGGTTTCCATATAAAGGCATCACCCGGTCAACAGCAGAGGCATCTGTGGAATGTTTTTTTTTTTTTTTAACAGCAAATGTCTGGGTTTTTGTCAGCCACAGTCTGAAAACTCTCTGTAACTCCCTTTGAGACGGCGCATGTGAGCACCTGTGGGGAATGAAATGATTGCATGGAAAACCTGGAAGAGATTGAGGCAAGACACCTCTCCTTCTGTGACCTCTGAGAGAAATGTGACCTCTGACCTTAGCAAACACACACATGCAACAGCTGGACTTGTGTCACAACAGTGTCAGTAACTGATGTTCACTGTTGAAACTGCAATACATTTACATTATAT